AAATTAATTAGAAATATAATAATGATATATAAAAATAGTAAAAATATCAATTGACATCATTTGACACATTCAAATGATGCAAAATAGTGGAAATAGATATAAGATGAGTGAATTTGTTAATAGAACCTTTGAAATCAGTTCATATATAGATCTATTCAAATAATTTAATTTTAAATGTTACAGACTTAGAAATATTTCAAATGCTTTGGTTAACTTTATCATTTAACATCCATACATATCAATTAGAACCAACTGAAATAATTTTAAATCAATTAAAATCATTTAACATATTATTATATATGATGTTAAATGATTTTAAATGTTTTTAAACTTCACAGTTTAACTCCATACTTTCATACATAAAAGAAAAAAACAAATTCCAAACAAGCAATTATTTATTGTGACATTGTCACAATGCCAGGTTGCAATTTTTAATCATATTTTTAATTTATTTAATTTAAAATATATGCTCTCCACCTCAAATTAGTACTGTAGTGTCTTGCCTCTGCATCATATTTTTCCCTGAACAATAGAGTCATGCCAGTCATCTATTAACTGCTTTCAGAAGAAAAGTTTTGAATTGAAATAACATGACTTCTAGTTTGCATTGGAAATTCATATATAATTAATCGGGGCCTCCTGTACCTAAGGTTTCTATATTTCGTCTTAGATTTTCTTATTTCTTTCATGATTCATAAACCAAAAACTTCTTAGTGGACTATTCTATGCCAAATTTCAATTGCCTAAGTTACTAAATTAACATTGCAAGTATATGTAATATAACATAATTATACTGTATTTATATATACATTTTGAATCACCATATTTAGCAATTCCTTTTCAGTATAACATGTTATAAATCTTATTGAGTGGATGTTTGCTGTCCTAGCATGAATGTCCTTAAAGCTTTGGCTAAAAGTGTTATGGGATCATTTATGGAAACATAATACTTTTGGTTCTCTCTGTCTCAAAATTAAGGTAATACTGATGACTGAGGGAATTTATAGGTCTACAATTTTTTTCAAATTGCAGCCCAATAAATTCTAAAACCGCTCTCTCAAAAAAAAAAACATGTTTTAGTGAGCACAAAAATCAATTTAATTGTCTAAAATTTTGTAGAATTCTCTTCCATTTCTATTCTACAGAGACTTGAAAAATAATAATATAAATAAATTTGGTATAATGCCAATAAATAAATATCTATATTACATAAAATGTCAGGTTTGGAAATTAGTGGTTTACACAAAATTGATGTAGTCTATATTTAGTAGTTAGTAATTATTTAAACTATGATAATTAATATTTTTCTTTTATTTGACTTATGAATTATATATTTAATTTCATCTATATTAATATATTTTTCTTAATTTTCAACAATAAATTTTATTGAAATTACAGGATGTTTGAAAGTTTTCTTAATGTGAATAATGTTTGATTCTTTATGCATGAAACTATTTCCACATAGCAGGAGAATTTATTTTCACAAATTAATCAACTATAAAATAAAATGTACAATTGGTGAATAATGTATTTTTTACTACAGCAAAACTTAAAATTATTCCATATAAATTTTCATCAATAAAAACTATCAATTTGTTTTTCAATGAATTAAAATATTTTGATGAAAATTTGTTTTCAAAAATTATAATTTTATTAAAGAAACTTATATTCCTTCCATTGAAATTTATTGATATACAGGGTGTACATAAAAGAATATAGCAGTTTTAAAGGTGTTTAATTGCACTTTAAAGCTAACAAAGAATAACAAACCAAATGTGAAAAGAAAGAGTAACATCTCTAGTTTACCTTATAAGTGTTCAATGTGAGCTCCATTTGTCACGTGATACACATCCAACCTGTAGGCTAATTCCTCCCATACCTTAACCAGCATTTCTTGAGTGATGGTAGCAACAGCTTTTTCAATCCTGTCTCTCAACTCGGGCAGGTTAGTAGACAGTGAGCGCATGTAGACTCAGTCCTTTACAAACCCCTCACAAAAATCACAGGGGTGAGTTCAGGTGATCATGGAGGCCACATGAGATAAACCCTGTCATCAGGTCCATGGCGACCAATCCAGCGGTCAATGACGACAACATTCAACCAATCTCATACAAAAAACTAAAACTTTTTTCCTTTTAGCTTATGACCAACTTGTACACCTAATGTAAGTGATACTATAGCAAATTCAAACTGCTATATTCTTTTATGTACACCCTGTATCATTCAATGAAAACTTTTCCTCATCTAATAATCTTTTAACTGGCTTGCCTAAAAATATTATAATGTTTATGAGAAAATAATTTTTGCATATTTGGTTTTAAATGATAATATAAAACATAATGATGAAATAGAAGTTTTAATTTAATACTTGATTACAGAATGCCCAAAAAAGTTATTGTGCACTGCAATTCTTTATACAGCAGATGTTGATTCTACAGCAAATGTCCCTTCCCAGGTCTGAAGACAAGTTGGGACATGCTTTATCATTGTTGAAAAGCATCTGTAGGGTGTGGTTTGACCAAGACAGATATATATAAAAAAATTTTAAATTTGAAAATATCAGAAAAAAAAGAAAGAAAGAAAGAAAAAAACATTACTGCACAGTAATTTTTGGGGTACCCTGTATAATTAATGATGTAATTATCATTTATTTATATTATAAATTTTTTGATTTTATCTGATATATATTACCTATGGAGCTTTTAATATTTGATCATTGATATTCTCAGAACCAAAAGTATTATGTTCCCATAATACTTTTAGCCAAGCACCAAGGACATTCACACTAGAATGTCCTTACAGTAAATGTCCACTCAATAAGACTTATAACAACATGTTATACTGAAAAGGAATTGCTAAATATGGTTATTTGAAATGAATATATAACTACAGGATAATTAAATTATATTACAAATACTTGCATTGTTAATTTAGTCACTATAATTCTAGACAATTGAAATTTGGCATAGAATATTCCACCAAAAAGTTTTTGGTTTATGAATCATTAAAGAAATAAGAGAATTACTTAAATTCAGTTCATTTCAATTTAAATAATTCCAATTGTGCTGTTTCAAATGATATCAATTGATATTTTTACTAAAAAAAATATTATANAATATTTTTAAAAATAAATTTTTAGATAATAATTTTGTTTATGTTATCTTTAAATTCTTTTCAAAAAGAAATTTTATTTTTATATCAATAAAATTTCATATGTTCTTTATTCACACATATAATAAAAATTAAAACAGTTTAATTTTTATTAGTTTTTTTTTCAAAATTTTCAATAGAATAAGACTAAATTTAGTTTATATAACTTTTAATTTAATGAATATAACAAATTTCAATAATGATTTCTCATTATACACCAATAAAAACAGAAATAATAAATTTAATAAAATAAATATTTAGCTGAAAATGTTTATTGGATAGAACAAGTTTTGGTTCCTAAAAATGAGACACTGACTTTTATTGATAAGAAATTTAATGAATACGAATATTTAAATGTCATTCATATTCATTCATTTTTAAATATAAGAAAATTATTATACAGAATTTAAATTATAATCTATATCATTAAAATTACTAACAACATAATAAATGATTTACAAAAAGCAAAACCATTTATTATAATGAAATATATATCTATATATATATATTTTACTTACCTTCCAATGTCTGATTTGTTTTCAATTTAGTAAAAGAAAGGAATTTGGATGCTACTTAAGTATAAATTATTTTCATCCAAGAAATTTTCTTTTATGAGCTGGGAAGAATTATTTCATGTACTACTGTACTGAATTAATTACTACTTACTAGGTCATAAAAAGTAACATTGAAATAAAAATCAATTTCTTCACATGATGTAATCTGCAAAATATTCTTTACAATTATATAAGATGACTCTAAATATTTTGAAAAGATTGAAAATATTTTGTCAAGATTTATATAATTTTATCATTTAATTCTCATACTAATTACATAATACTTGGCTGTTCTCTCTCCCAGTAAGTTTGTATTTATAAATATGCAAAATTAATAACAAAAAAGCACAATTTAAAAATATTGATACATAATAAAATGCATAAATAATAAGCTAAATTTTATTTTATTTAATTATATGAAAATAAATTCTAGAGAACAAAATTAGGAGACAAACATATATAGTTATATTATATATGTATAAAATATCTATACATATATATAAATATATATACATATACAGTACATAAAAACAATATATATGTATATATATATATTTGTTTTTTGTTCAAAATTTTTTCCATGCTGTTACAATAGAATTTTTTTGCCACAAATTATTTAATTTCTAAATATAGCAATCAGAAGCCAGCAAGCTATTTTCCCCCCTAGCAGAGATTTTTGAATTATGAAAAATATTCCAAATGTTAAAATTTCAAAATTGCCATTGCTTGCTGAACTCTGTTATGCAAAGCAGTGCCAAATCCTAACCCACAAAATATAAATATAACCAGAAAAAAATCATTCCTGGTTATAATTTTAATTGTTAGAATAATACTCATATAAAATTAGAAAAATATATATATTCTAAATGAAATTAAAAATAAATCTATTAATCATAAATGTAATCATATTGAATTATTACATTTTAAAAAATATTAGAAAACATTTCCAATTATACACAACATGTGTATATTTGCAACTGTTATTGAATTTATATCTAGTTTAATACAGCAATACTCAAAAAATCTTATTTATTGTTATCTGTAGAATTATCATATCAAAGTGCTTATTATGATACACTGCAATTTATTTTAATTTAGAGGCATCCATGCATTAATAATTCTGTGGGTAGGGGATGGCATATATAAGCTGCATAGGGCTCATGCTAACCCACACAGCAAATAAATACAAAAAAACTTAATGCTCTCTTAAAATAAGACATTAATTAGCATGTGCAGGAGAGGCAAAAAGAGACATTTTTACACAGAAAGAGGAAAGAGAAAAGAAAGGTAGCCTACCACAGCAGCGGCGTTAGCTCTACTCTGGGCAGCCTTTAGCTGTGCTTGCAAGTGTGGAGGGGGATGGAAGTATCGACACTGTTCCCGCGTGCATCGGCCCTTTACAAAATCCATACAGACTGTCACCATGCCTTCAGTACTGTCGACTGTCACATGATCAGGGGGATGAGCAAAGCGACACTCAGTTTCGGCACGCTTGCAGTTACCGCGCTGATATTCACGGCAAACCTGGACAGCAGAAACAGCACGCCAGCAATGTGATACTATATACAAATGTCACTGACATGCCACCCACCTAATTCATGCTGGGGTAGTGCAAGATGACATTTATCATATTCATCCCAGTGTTGTTTAACATTCTTCCTCAAAAAAATAATATGGTATTCTCTTAATGATTAAAAATAAAAATAGCAGCCATTTTTTTCTTTTTACAAAATTTTAATGGTAAAACGAAATTTTAAATAATTTAATAAAAAATTTGCATTAAATATTAAACTGATGACAAAATCAGCAAATTAATTTTTGACAAAATTTATATTCCATGAATTAAAAAAATTATAATTTTGATCAAAATTTATGCAAATTATGCAAAATAATTTTTAAAGGAAGAAAGAAATTTAAATAACACCTCTTTAATNTTATGCTAAAGTGTATAATAATGTTTTTGCTGCAAGATGTTACAAAATGGACTAAATACAAGTATAAAAATGAAATTGTATTTGAAGAAGGTACTAGAAACTGCTCACACCACCATAAAAAATGGTAAAAAATATGGAAAAATGTGGAAATTTTGTAACTAAATCTTATATAAGAGTATTAAAAGTTACAATAAAATTTTATTAAAATTATTTTAAATATTTATTATTTTGATAAATTTAATAATTTAGTAATTCAGTTAAAATTATTTTTATTTAGTTAATTAGTCAACAGCAAATATATTTTCAAAGTTTAAATAATTTTAAAAATATAATTAATTATAATTATACAAAAAGCAGATAATATGAAATTTTTCAATACATTATCAATACAAAAATTACTGTATCATAATAAGCAATCATAATAAAATCATTAAACTTATCTGATTATTATGAAAAAATAAGAATTACTGTATTAACAATGATAATTCTGAATTCTGTTTTGTATTATCTCATTTTATCAAGATCTATCTTGGAATGTGCAGAAATTTTCAGAATTAAAAAACAAAATTAAGTTTTAATTGAATTAAATGTGATAAAAAATATATTAATTGTATAAAATATAATTTCAGAAGTTTTGATTTTAATAAAAAAAAAAAAATCTTCATAAAATCAAGCATAACTTCTTGCTGTATTAAATAATTTCTGAGGAATTAAAATAATGCAAATAAAATAATGCAATAGATATATTTACATAACATTTACAATTTATTATATAAATTATATGACTATATTTTTATGAAAAATAAAAATTTAATTATGTAAGAAACTTATTTTTACTTCCTGAGAAATTAAACAATGAATGGAATATTATCTTATCAGATTATTAAGCACAAATTATATGTACAACTGGAATTATATTACTAATCAACAGTACTTTTCACTCATTTCCAGCAGCCACTTGACATTGCAAAATCAAAAGTGCAAACATTTTCATAGAATTTTCAAATTTTAACCATTCTGGAATTTTTGTTTAAAATTCTTTTGTCTATGTCATCAGCTTCAAATGTTATTTGTAGAATCCACCTTTTTAAGAAACATTGTACAGTAGAGCATTGATTATCCAACTCAATTGGGGACTCAGGTTGGTCGGATAACTGAAAAAATCGGATAACTGAAAAAAATGCATTATTAATATAGTATATTAGTATATCGCTATTAACCAACTTCGCATTGAATTTTCATCGATGTTAAGCCTAACAAATTTTTTTTTTAATAATAATCGTTGCTATTGTATCATTAAAAATTATTTTTAAGTTATTTTATGCTCACAAAACAAACAACCATTCATAATTAGAAAATTAAGTCTCGTTTAAATACTGGCTTCCATTTAATGGTCGAGCTGGTATTGCCAGCTAAAACACGCAAAAATTTAACAAAAATAATATCAAAGTAGCCCAGACATAGACAAATATTGTAGTGTCATATCACTAGCAGACATTTGAAATTTGCCGACTAGAACGATTGGTTAACCAATGTGACTGTTAATTGGAGGTCGGATAATCGAAGCTCTACTGTATTTTATTTTAATTTACTAAGTTTTTTACATGCACACTACATTATATGGCTTCTTTATTTATGTGATATTTAACAGAACGTACTCAGCAAATAATTACTAAATTATCAAAACACACCTTATGTTGCCAAGATAATTTATTGAAAACAAACTAATGTTTTCAGCCTATTTCATAGACCATCGTCAGGTTAAACCAGAAGATTGGAATATTAGCATTCCAAAATAGAACACATATATTTAAAAACAAAAATAATAACGGAAAATAAGTTTGTTTGTTTGTTAAGTTATGGCAACACAACATGTGGGCAATCTGCCTAGGGGGGATGCCTTTCAGTAGGTCTTTTTAAGGGAAACTGGCCCCTATTTAGGCATTACAGATATGGAGAAAACCTGGAAAACTCCACATAGCCAGCCCGTCTGAGCAAGGTGAGAACCCACGACCAAACTCCCAGTGTTCAGGGTACAAACACCACTTGGCCACTGATGGGCCCTACGGAAAATAAGAAAATAACAGAAAAATTATATAAATAAATATAAATATAAATATAAAAGAAAAACAAAACCAGATATAATAATAAAAATAAAAATCCAGTATTTATGTGGATTGGATTGTCAATAATAATTTCCACACTGTAAAAATTAATTCTGCATCCTTGCAATTTATGCATTATGCTTTATACATTATAATTGGCACTACAAATGCAAATCTTTGATGAAAATGCCTGACACTAGCCGCTAAATGGGCCAAAAATGTTTGCACTTTTGATTTTGTAATGTCAAGGGGCTGCTAGAAATATGTGAAAGGTACTATTGATTAGCAATATCAGATTACTTATACAGAAATATATAAAACATTCTAATTACAGAATTAATTATCAATGAATACATGTTAAATGATTAAAAATTTTTAAGTTTATGTCATTTCATCATTTATTTTATTATTATATTCTTTTAATAATTTTTTCAACTACTCAAAAACAAATCATTCAGGATGCTATTAGATAATTGTAAAGATATTATGCTCTTTCCAACTACAGTATTTCAAATATTTTGAACTCTATTGATATTTCATTTCAAATAAGCAAAAATTATTGTGACATTATCACAATGCCGGGCTGCAATTTTTAATCATATTTTTAATTTATTTAATTTAAAATATATACTCTTGATCTCAAATTAGTAGTATCTTGTCCCTGTACATCATACTTTTTCTGATAACAACAGTCATGCTGATCATCTATGTAATTCTGTTCTGGAGAAAATTTTTGAATTAAAATCACATGATTTCCAGTCCAGACTGGAAGTTCATATATAGTTAATTGGGGCCTCCTACCTCTAAGCTTTCCATGTCTGGTCTCAACTTTCATCTATCTAACTCCATTCTCGAGATTACGGAAAGACAGACAGTCAGACAGATGACAGTGGGAATTTATAGGACTACAATTTTTTCAAATTGCAGCCCAATAATCATGATTTTCAAACAAATGATGGATTTCATTAACTTTTTCACAAAAAATAACTTTCTATATATATAAAATTATATAAAAATTCCTTNAAAAAAAAAAAAAAAAACTTTCTTTTGCCAAAGTATTTACATTGTTCTCCTTTTTTATTAAGTTAATTGAATTAAAATCAGTATTTAAAATATGTTAAACATTTTTAACATATAACAATATACAGTATTTACATTATTTTTAATTACTGTAATAATATAGTATTCTGAATTGTAGTACAGTATTATAGTATAAATTATAACTTAAAGCTTTCTTAATTGTTGATGCTGTCATAAAATTGCATTAGAAAAAAAAATATAACTGTGAATTATATTTTTTATTGTGATTTATATTGTGAAAAATATTGTGAATTATTTACTTTATCATTTTATCTGAACCATATTACTTAACTGCTGAAGATGAATATATTCAGAACATTATTAATAACTTTTTGCTAATTATATATTAATTTCATATAATCTATTCCAAATAATTCATTCTAAATAAAAATAAATTCTACCTATTCATTAATGATTTGTTAAGAAAAAATTATTATTAATCTTCTGCTTTGTCAGCTTGAAGCAATAATACTTTATTAAAAAAGCCATTTAAATAACCTAATCAAATTTTGTTTCATGAATCTTTGAAAGAAAATGCAGTGAATAAAATTCATATAATATTTTTGGCATGATGTAATATTTTGATATATGAAATTAATTCATTTACAAACTATAAAATTTTTAAAAACTTACGAAAAAAAATACTTGAAAAATCCCAAACATAAGAAAGTTTATTAAGCAGGAAACAGAAAGACTGTACAGTTGTATTAGATCTTTATATTAAAAACAAAGCAATACTTAAAAATATAAAACAGAAAACATTGAAGTAATAATAAAATATTTATTGGCAATTTAAAAAATTGTGAATTAGAAAAGAAAATTCAACAAGACAAAAAATAAAAAAACAAAAAGGAATTTTAAAAATTTAGTATTCCTGCCATATAAATAAGCACAGATAAATTTGTTTAGAAAAGAATTATAGAATAATATTTCAAATTAGATCAAATATAGAAAATTAAAAAGCAAACATTCAATTTCTATATTAAATATTGTTAAAATAAAATTTACATTTATTTGTGATTATTAAATACATAATGTAGTTTTAAATAGCTGTTTTTATTTTGACTCTTTCTGCCCTGTGGGTACTAAGAACATCTTTTAATCATACCCTGCTGGGTTTGCCCAAGCCTACAATGGAGGCAACCATTGGTGAAAGATGGGGCATGACATTGCTGGGACAGACCACAACCTGATAAATTTCTGGGATTTTTCGACTGCCCAATTTCAATTCCGGGTGTCCAGAGCAGTAGGCTGATGCCTTAACTACCTTGGTCACCCAGCTATCAAAGTTTCAAATAGTTAAAAATTTCTATTTTCAAGGAATATTTCAATTTTCACTTTGACTGTATCAATTAAGTAAACAATTTAAAAGTTTTCTATGGTTGCTGTACAATTTATTTTAATA